GGTAGTGTAGACATACCCTTGGAGTTCACACCTACAGATCATCTGCTAGAAGTGGGCCTCACCCTCCCTGACTGAATTAACCTCGTTATCTCTAGTCTTCTTCTGGCCTGTATATTTATACCTGCCTCTGGTAATTTCCACTACATGCATCTGACGAATTGGGTCTTTGCCCACGAAAGCTTGTGTTCCAATACATCTGTTAGTCTATAAGACGCCACAGGACTCCTTGTCGCTTTTGCAAATACTGGAAGGAAGATCTCCCCCCTCATATGGACTCAGGGCTGAGTAATGCTTTGTCTGTCGCTTTGGGGTGAAGGGCTGCATTTGAAACAGAAAATAAATACACTCAAATGCAAAGATATGAGCCTGTAAATACCTGCCCTGCCATCTTCCAACCCTGGAGGCTCTGGGAGTGTAGTGGAATACAGTTCCAAGGGACTAAACGAATGAGACTCACATACCTCTGGCTCCAGGAGTAATGAAAGCTCAGGATGATTTTTGTGGAGTGATGGGAACAGAATGGAACTAAGAGACTCAAGTGCCCCTTTTTATGTCTGCTGCCTCTCTACTCCCTCCAGAGGGAGAATGTTGTCTAAGGGTTAGAGCAGGGCATGGTGTTAGGAATCTAAGATTCTCTTCCTGACTCTGCTTCCAGCTTGCACCAGCCCTCTTATGGCACTTTCTCAGATCCTGCTGTCATGGGCCTCCCATGCTTTATGAAAATTAGCTTATGAATATGCATATGCATAACTAAAAATGCTTTATGCAAAGTACATCATGTGACATTTCATTTTAAAAGTTGTAGTCCACTGAATCTGTATATCCTATTTCTGTGCATACATCTTTCTTGCACATGAAGATAGAAATATTAAGTGGGAACCTGTTTAATAAGTCTGGTTAGTCTAGTAAAAGCCACTAGTGATACCTTGAGAAGTTAATGGCTGGGTTATCAAGTCAATGACCTGGGAATGGTTTTGATTTTCCTGTATGGCCGCACTGTTGGTGGTCCTATAAAGACATGTGACCAGGTCACCTGATGCTGGAACCCATTTTGGATCTAGAACTATTCCATTCAAGGTGAGAAAAATTTAAAGTGAGCACAAAGAATTCCCACCTTGGGCAAAAGGGATGTAAAGGGGGGAACCAAATAATAGGGAGGTGGCAAGATGCCAGGAGACTCCCACTTACCACCCACGATGCCTGCTGGAAGCATCTAAGTCTGAACAGGGGGAAGGGTTGGGCCCCAGCTAGAAGGCTGCCTAGCTTGTGAAAGAGATGAGTAGAACAACTGTTAGGGTAAGAATTTGCATGCAACAAGTTTCTCATGGTATTAGGACTAGCTGGTGTGTTTTGTTCATTTTGGCTTAGTAACTGAGGGTATGGCTACACTAGCCACCCTAGTTCGAACTAGGGTGGCTAATGTAGTCATTCGAACTTGCAAATGAAGCCCGGGATTTAAATATCCCGGGCTTCATTTGCATGTTTCTGGGTGCTGCCATTTTTAAATGCCCAGTAGCTTGAACTACCTGCCCGCGGCTACACGCGGCACGGGCTAGGTAGTTCGAATTAACACTCTTAATTCAAACTACCGTTACTACTCATTGCAGGAGGAGTAATGGTAGTTCGAATTAAGAGTGTTAATTCTCATGCCCCTGGCCTCATTAGCCACACCTCCTGATCCCTTAGGCCCCACCCACTGGTCACATAAAGTCCTATGCCTGGAGGTAGTACTTTCAGGGTTAAGATGGAGTCTGATGGACACATGACCAAATGTGCCCTGAAGAGGAGGGCAGTGAGCCCGAGCGTGCCCCGAGGGGGTGGCGCAGGTGGCAGTTCAAAAACGCTGAGGTCTGGGAGCGGCTACTCAGCGCCTCAGACCCAGCCACCCCTCCCACTCCCGGCAGCAGTGGCCTGAGCATGTGGAGGAGGAGGAGGCTGCGCGGCCGCACCAGAAGCCCCGTGGGACAGAGGCAGTCCTGCGGGGTAAGAAGGGGATCGCGCGGTGCGTGTTGGTGGGGCAGTGGGGTGGTGGAATGACCAGAGCGGTGCACTACCAGAAGCCCGCCCCAGCCGGCAACGCTCCAATGGGAGCTGTCTTCGTGCGCTGCGGGGAGGAGGGAGCACGGTGCTGCTGCGCTGAGCCGCGCCAGGAGCAATGGACTCATCATAGTCTCTTCTTCCCGCAAGTCCGAGTTCCCATCAATAGTGAAATGTCCAGCGGAGATTTCTGGGACATTTCACTGCTTCATGGGGCACTGGGACAAAGTCCTAAAAAATCGGGACAGTCCCGGAAAAATCACTTCCTCTGGTAAGCATAGCTGTACCCCAGCAGAGGAGCTGGGCTTGCTGCGTTGAAGGAAGTGAATGTGAAGCCAACAGCGCAGGGCTCTTCTGTTTATTTTATACCTGTCAAGCCTGGCAGACCAGTGGCCTTTTATGGGAGATGTGCCACTCCCTCGCTGGGTGTGCTACTATCAGGGTCACCTCTTTGCAGGCCGTTTAATTAGGAATTTGGAATGTCCATGCGCTAGCCCTCTGGCCACCAAGTGCTAGCTCTCTGCACGGAAAGGGTCTCCATGAGGCAGAGCAGAGGTGCTCAAAATCAAGCTGCGATTTGTGCCATCAGCTTTGTAGGAACTGTACAGCTGGGCCCATGAAAATGCCTGTCTCAGCACTGCCACGTTATCCCTGCAGGCTCTTGCTTTTATGGCTATCTGTGATGCGTGTGTACTTGAGGATTTAACAGCAGCAATAGTTGCTTTTGTCAGGCGTGATCTATGGGCTATAAAACTCAGTTCCCATTCCTATGTTCCACTGAAATAGGAAAGCTCTTGGAAAAGGGAAAAGCTCTGAGGCCCTTTAGCTTTTTCAGAGCCAGCTTCCATTAGAAAGGAACAAGCTCACATTTTCCAGCACACCTAAAAATCCCATTTTCTCACATCTCACCTTGGCCATCAGGGTGACCCCTCGTTGCTGGATATGGTTGCTGCTGTCCAGAAAATGCTTAAAATCTGAGGGTCAGTAAAGGGGAACAAAGGATACACCAGGTCAGAGATAGTGGCAAAAAATGAACTAAGAACAAAATGAACCATTGTCATGGGAACCATGGAATGGCAAGAACATTAGAAAGGGTAAAACATTGTCCTGCCAGGCCCAGAACAGCCCAGAGCTTCTCCAGTCATAAGTGCTGGCACTTGGGATACCGGGGATGCTGCATCATGCCCCTGCCAACACCCATTCTACAAATTGTTCCAGAATCCCTATCTATGGTTGTTTTGTGTCGGGGGTGAAAGAGGCGGGAGTGTTGGGACAGGGAAGTTAACTTGAGGCAAGTGTTTTTTCTGAGATAGAGAGAGAGAGAGAGAGAGTGTGTGTGTGTGTGTGTGTGTATTTTCCGGCACAAACTGACGCTAGCAAAGGTAGGGACTGTGCTGATTTAAGATTAACTAGGCAAAAGGTAAACTCAGTGGAGCAATTTGTGGGCAGCAGGCCAGGAGCATGTATTGCTTCACAAATGTGATGTTGACTGTGAAGTTATTGAACATATACCCAGGTAAAACAATGGCAGCATGCCACGCTTGCTGGGCCAGATTGAGCGAGGCATGGGCTCCGTGGCATATCGCTAGAGCCAAGACGCTGGCCCTATTTGCTTGTACCGAAGCAGACTAACCACACAGATGCCTTGCTGTGTGATGGGAGATGGGAACTTGCCCTGCTACTTCCTTTGCTGACTCTGTTGAGTAACTGCAGAATGGCGTTCATGTTCCAGGACTGTTCAGGTTCCAGGCCAACTAGTGCCGGCCTTCCAAGCTTTGAAGGTGTGTTGATCTGGACCTGGACTTTTGGCCAGACCCTGGCTCTCTGATGGGCCCAAGTAGCAGCCCCCTGTGTGATGGGAGATGGGAACTTGCCCTGCTACTTCCTTTGCTGACTCTGTTGAGTAACTGCAGAATGGCGTTCATGTTCCAGGACTGTTCAGGTTCCAGGCCAACTAGTGCCGGCCTTCCAAGCTTTGAAGGTGTGTTGATCTGGACCTGGACTTTTGGCCAGACCCTGGCTCTCTGATGGGCCCAAGTAGCAGCCCCAAAGTCTGGGGAAGCTGGCTCTGAATTTGGGTCCTGCTGACAACTTTCCCCCTCAAAGAGAATCAGTCTTCCAGGTGGCCTCACAACAAAAGTAGCCCCAGAATGCTGCCCCACTAGAAAAGAGACCTAGAACTGTCCAACTCTTGAGCTGCCCTTTGTTGGGAACGGCTTGCGGAGATTCCCTGTGAGAACCTACAACTGAAAGCCTCGATAGCCTATCAACTGATCAGTGACTGTCTTTCTTCTGGCAAAGTCTCAGTCATTGCAGAAATCTAGGGGAGCATGGGAAGTGTTCTGGCCCCGCCCCTTCTGTCTGAGCCACTGCCCCTTCTGGGGTAGCCTGAGTCCACCTGAGAAATTTGTGAAGTGGTCTCCCTTCAAAAATTATTGTCCACCCCTGTTTTAGGCATTGTAGGCCCGATTCTGCCTTCTTTTACACCCCCTGGAATGTAAAGCAGTGTTGCCATCTTGAAATGTTCAAAAATCATAACTCAACCCCTCCCCCACTGATGTGATTTCCTTAAAAATACCCAGGAATCCAAGAGAAATAGATTTTGGCTCCTTTTTCTTTGCTCTCTGGTTTCTGAATCCTCCGGGTACAATTGTTACACGTGTTCAAGTTTTTCTCTGGAGTCACAATGTCCAAAAAGTTCCTTTTTTAAAGTAAATTCTTAAGCAATACTATGCGTCCAGTATCTGGGGGCTTTAAGAAAAATTCCAACCATTGTGAGACTTCTGATAAAAGGAGCCAGCAACACTGCGAAGTGAAGGCTCATTTGATTGATGGGTCAAATTCAGACCTGGTGTAATGGGGAAAAGGTATGCACAGTACCTTATGACAAAGTTAACAAGGGTTTGGGGGTTTGGAGTTTATCCTCTCCATAGAAAAAAATCCATCCAAGAAAAGTTAGAAAATATTTTTGCATTTCTTTCTTTTTTTATTAATACAACTGTAGTGAAGAAATATTTCTCTGTTTCCATTGGAAGGCAGTAACCAGCAAAAATTAATGAACCGTATTGGGGATGTCTGGTGCGAATGAAATGTGCACTGAGACATATTCCCCATACATTACCTCTACATACAGGAAAAGTTGGGGCAGTTGGAAAAAGACGGTCTCATTATTCAGTTGTTCACATTTAATTTCCCGATCATAATCAATGTGATTTACAAAATAAAGTCTGGAAAATGATTAGATTCATCACCGCAATAAATTATTCAGCAAAATGCCATCAGGTTGACAGGCAATACAATACTTTGATACCCGTAGGCAGGGGCGAGGTGCTGCATTTTTGCATTTGAAATCCAGGGCCCACATCCACAGCCAGTGTAAATCAGAGGAACTCTTATTGACATCAGCTGGGGATTCGTCCCAAGAGCTTTTAGCAATTGTGACTCCACCACTTCTTGATGTTTCCACTGGGCCAGGACCTTGCAGAAATCCAGTGTGTGGTCAGGAAAAATGAGTATTTCCCCAGGAAGAGATTTCAGTTTTTAGGGAAGGAGAAATTGCCAGCTTCATGGCCTTCTTTCCCTGTGGTGGTGGGAGCTGCAGGGAATAGCACCAATAGGCTTCAATGAGCAAAAGGAAAACACAGGCAAAGTGAAACCAGCGAGGTTCCATGGCAAGGGTCTAGGCCAGGAACTAGGCAGGATATTTACATAATAAAACGTTTCTCCTTGACCCCGTAAGGACTTCATAGCAGAGCTTGAGGGTCTATGGGTTTCTAATTGCCCTCATGCTTTGCGGGTCTGTACCTTGCAGACTGTCACAACTAATCTCTGTCATGACGTAAAACCTTATAAACCTGTGAGTGACCAGTTATCCAGACACTCCCCAGCCATGAGGAACATGCAATCCTGGTCCAATCTTTGTGTCTTGGGTCCGTCCATCTCTCATCTCTCCACTTCTGATTTCCTCCCTACTCTCTGTCGTGCCTCCACCCACCATAATCTCCCACAAACAGGCTGCAGATAAGCTTTTGCTTATAGTTAAGATGTGTGAGTATAATTAGGAGGCACGGACCCAGCCAGATTTCCAGCAATCACGCAGGCGAGATCTGTGTGGTATTTCAGGGTGCTGAGCAAATATTGTCCCCTCCCGATCTCTGTCCTTCCCAAGACCATTAGCTGAATCCCAGAACCATCACTCCATTCCCTTAACGCATGTATTGCTCCCATGACTCCCTTAGCAAACGTGCCGTGGTAGCATAATGGAGGAATTTGCTGCTTTGCCTCCTTCAGTTGCTGACACGGGGAGGGAATAATGATGCTGGGGTAAGAAACCCCAGCAGTACCCCAACATATGGAAAGTCTGAAATAGCAGGGAATTCCAAAGCACCAAACTCATCAAGGGGACCAGGCTGTGCTTAAATATTGTCACAGAGGGTTATTATACCCTGCCCACCCCGGTCTTTGGAATGATGCTTCCCAGAGAATTTCTAGCTCCATTAATGTTGGCTGAAATTTGGGACTATTCTGAGAAACTTTAAAGACAGCAGGAGGCCTCTCTGCCCATCATTCAAATGAGACATCTGTGTTGGCTAAGTCCGTTCTTTTAGTAATGTCTGGTTTGCTTTGAACCCACTCCGAGGCAGTAAAAAGTGGTCAAGTGCCACTTCACAGGCAAGCAGTCAAGGCAAATCTCAAGAGTCACTGGCAGGCACGAGTTTCAGTTCCGGCCCTTCATACGAGGACTAATGATTTCACTATGGTTTAACTCCCCGATATGTAATTCTCAGCTGGCCCACGGCACATGCTCTCTCTAGCTGCACAAAGCGAGCCTTTTGCGGTCTTCCAATAAACAAGCTGATGTGTTTGTGCCTGTGAATCCACTGACATCTTCCGTCTTCACTGGGACAGTCAGTCTGTTTTCCCCAGCACAGTCTTCCACAGGCTGGTTTCTTTCTGGGAGACTCTAGATGACTTCTTGTTTTGTGATGGTGGGTTGGGGGATTGAAGTGGGCTGTTTTGCTACAGTAGCGATGGCCCCGGGGAGCAGCTTGTATTGCTCAGGTCCTGAGCCTGCAGGCGGGGAAGGCTGTGGAGTTTCCGGAGTGGCTGCCGAAAGAAACACTGTGTTACAAAGGCAGTAGGAGAAGATGCTACAGGACTACAAGGACTCAAGCTGCAATATTCAAATCTGAATCCCAAATCCATATACTCCAGAGTTTGGGGAAGGGCTAAGGACTTGGGTAGGGATCCTTCTAGTGCTGGCACAGGCATCACAGATGGAAGAGAGGTCAACTGCTCTTCCGTGAAAACATGGTTTCCAGGGGCTACGCACAGTCTCCATATGTGTCTGCCCCTAGCATCGCTGGAGGAGTCCACAGCAACAAACACAGAATCAGGGGTTCTGGGCCTGCTTTTGACTCTGCACGGAAGACTCACCTTGTAGGTTGCATTTGAATGTCATCTCCAAGATCTCGCTTTGTGCTGTGGCCAAGCAGACACCCCCATGTTCAAGCCCCCTGATACGCAGGGTTCTTTGGACAGCAGGACGATGGGGAGGCCAAGGAAATTAAAACATTCACATACATTTTACTGGCTTTTCCCCAGATGTACAAGGTCTAGTCTTTGGGCACGTGATCTAATCAGCACTCAGGAGTCATGCACTAGGTTGGTCTATTAGGATGCATCTACACAGCACCCTACACTTGAAATAAGATATGCGATTTGCACTATGCAATTTGCGTATCTTATTTCAAAATGATTTAGAAATAGCTTATTTTGAAATTTGGCGCATTTACACAGCACCGAATTTCAAAATAACGCGCTATTTCGAGCCATTCCTTATCCCTTGTGCGACAAGATTTACCAGGATGATGAAATAGCGTGTCCGTTATTTCAAAATATGGGGTGGCTTGTGTAGACGTGGGGTAACTATTTTGGGATACCTTCATATCCTGACAGAGCCATGCAGTGTAGACGTACCCTATTAGTTGCCAAATTAGGGCTCCTGTAAAAACGACCATCTATTGGGGAGCCTTCCACTGAATCAAGCACTCGAGCTAATCGACTGCACTCTCCCCACCTCCCTGGGGGTCTGTCTCTGTCCTTCTGCAGAGGCACTTCTAGCAGGGCCATAGTATCTGACTTGCATTGCTGTAGCTTTGCCGTGTAGAAAATGCCACTCCTGGGGTGACCTGCCTGTTGTTTCCAATTCATACACATTCCATTTAGCTTAATTCCAAACAACCCAGGTCTGTCTTGGCAGCTGTCAGTGCTGCTAGGGATACTTACACATCTGCCCATTATGCAGCTGCGCGGGCATCGTGTTGGCTACGATGACGTTCGTCCCCAAGTTCTCCTGGATCAGATGAGGGTGCAGAGGGTGGTGAGCGTGCGGGGTTTCACTCGACGAGCCTAGAACCATTGCAGTGTCAGTAATCGCTGGCAGGACACAAGAGGAAAGGACTCGACTGTCCAAAAGAGCATAGATCTGGAGAGCCAAACGTGCACAGCCACGCCAGTGCTTCTAGGTGCACTATTGTGCAAATGATCGGGACACGTTCCCTCCCTGTCCTCCACTGAGATCTCAGTGCTGCTCTGCCTCTACCGTAGCAACACCATCTTCTCTTCTCTTGGGATTCCAGGGAAGAGCTATTTGCAGGGTCAGCAGAGGGGCAAACTGCTGCTCCACTCCATGCATTGCATCAGGTTAACTGAGCTTTCAGCAGCTAATAATAAAGCCAGGCCCTGCTTTTAACCATTCCCCTTTAACGCATGTAATGTTCTCATGACTCTCTTAGGGTATGGCTACACTAGTCACCTTAGTTCAAACTAGGGTGGCTAATGTAGTCATTTGAACTTGCAAATGAAGCCTGGGATTTAAATAACCCAGGCTTCATTTGCATGTTCCCGGGCGCCGCCATTTTTAAATGCCCGGTAGCTCGAACTACCTCCCCACGGCTACATGCGGCACGGACTAGGTAGTTCAAATTAACACTCTTAATTTGAACTACCGTTACTCCTCGTGTAGCTGCGGGCAGGTAGCCATACCCTTAGAAGGAAACAAGACTTAGGTAAGTAGCTGACTGTCTCTTGGGAGATGCATCCTCTGAAATGTGCACAGGGGTGGTGTAAGGACAGAGGGGCAAATTGTCATGCTGTTGGGAACAGAACCTTTGCCGCCTGGAGCAACCTGAATGGAACTTGGGAGGGGCACCGGTTGCTGGAGGGAAGGATTTGGAGGAGGCACAAGAAGTCAGTCTGTGTGCTCATGGCTAGGAATGCTAACCTGAAGCTCTGTAAATAGCTGCATAAATCAGAGGCACTGACTTTCTGGTTTCCCCGGGGTGCTCAATCTCTGCTCCACTCCAGGCCTCACCCTCACTTCTCCCCTTCCCCCAATGATCCACCGTGCCTCTTCCCACTCTGTTTGGCCTTCTCCCCTGAGTGCGCTCTGCCCTCGCTCTGCCTCCACCTGTCCCCTTTCCTTTCCCTTCTTCCAGCAGCTCGCATGCTGGTCATTTGTGGGTGGGAGACCCGGGGGGGAGCTAATTAGTGGGGCTATCGGTGGGTGCTGAACCTTCACTATTTTTTTCCCAGAGGTGCGCCAGCCCCAGAGCACCCAAGGAGCCAGTGCCTATGGCATAAACAGCCAGCTGTATTTCATAGGAACGGATCACAGGGTACGTGAAACACAATACAAGCTGCAGAGGGAGGGAATTACATCTAATGCAAGCTGCACCTTCTGAAGGAAGGTAAATGGTCAGCTTGGGTTGATCTGCTCAGCTCCCTGCCTCCGGAGGTCTGAACATAGACCTGGGAACCCAGGACTCTGCCCCCTCCCTTCTGATCCCTGCACCCTGTGACGAGAGGGTGATGGGGTTGTGCTGAGGATTAGGGCTGTAGAGGCTGTGCTCCGATACTCACCCCCCAGCAGCATTTCCTGCAGTAGGTTGTCAATCTTGGCCATGCCAAAGAGTTTGACAAACTGAATCTGCTCGATCATCTGCCAGGTGATGCTCTGCAGGGTGGGCAGCAGAAGCAGCAGCTCGCCAAAGCGGCCCCGCGAGTCGTACTGCCGGTCATTGATGTAATCCTCCAGGCTGACCTGCACCTGGTACCGCATCCTCTTGATCTTGGTGGGGTCGCTCAGCCCTTTGGCATCTGAAACAAAGCCCAAAATGAGAAATGGAAGGCGGTGTCCCAAAGGAGAGGCCCTCTCTAGGGCAATGAGCTGGGGGCTCAGCCTGCCACTGGCTCTCTCTCTGGCTCCCTGCAGTCTGGTTTTAGAGACATTCATGGCTCCTTTTCGAGGGCTGAATTCTCCCCTGCACCCAGGCTTGGCTTGGCACAGAGGCAGGAGCCATCAATAAGGCAGTCATGCCTCCATTGTTCTGCACCAACCTTGCCTCAGCATCACAGAACCATGGAACTGGAAGGAACCTCGAGAGGTCAAGTCCAGTCCCCGGCCCTCACGGCAGGACCGAGCTCCGTTGGTGCTACCTAAGGGCTGTGCTAGCACCACTAATGCACCTAACGCTAGCACAGCTCCACTCTGCCACCTCCAGACCTGCCTCAACCCCATCCTCACCTGGCACCCCCTCCCCACCATGCAGGAGGAGGTGCTGAGCTGGCACAAGAGCCGTGTTCTCCAGCCTTAGATGAGGAGAGAGCTCTCCTCCACAAGGGGAATCTCCGCTGGGCATTTAATGCTGGATTCTAGCCTGTGTGCCATTTGGACAGCACAAAATACCTCTACCCTCCTAGAGAATCTTAGATTGGTAGGACTGGAGGGGACCTGGAGAGGTCAGTGAGAGTACGTCTACATTGCGCCGTAGCTCGAAACAATTTGAGCTATGCAAACTGTGTATCTTATTTCAAAATAGCTTATTTCGTACTATGGCGCTGTGTAATAACCCGCTATTCCAAAATGTCCCTTGCTCCTCATGGAATGAGGTTTACAGGGATGTTGGAATAACAAGCCCGTTATATTTCAAAATAACGGACTTGCTGTGAAGACGTGGGCTACTCTGGTATCCTGAAATAGCATTGCAGTGTAGACGTAGCCTTAGTCCTGTCTCCGGCACTCATTGCAGGACTAAGTATTATCTAGATTAGTGATTCTCAGCTTATTTGCCATTGTGTTATGTGAGCTGCATTTAATACTACCTGTATGGCCTTGAGGCTGTAACATGGGCTGCAGCTGTGTGCTGATTGGGTCGCAAGTTGAGAACCAATGATCTAGACCACCCCTGACAGATGTTTGTCTAACTACTCTTAAAAACCTCCAAAGATGGAGATTCTACAACCTCCCTAGGCAATTTGGTCCAGGTCTTAACCATTCTAGCAGTTAGGAATTGTGTCCTAATGTCCAACCTAAATTTTCCATGCTGCGATTTAAGTCCACTGCGTCTTGTCCTATCCTCAGAGGTTAAGAAAAAACATTTTCCTCTCCCCTCTTTCCAAGGGTTTTTCGGTACTTGAACACCATTATCACGTCCCCTCTCAGTCTTCTCCAGACTTAAACCACATTTTTTCAATCTTCCCTCTAGACCTTTAATCGTTTTTATTGCTTTTCTCAGGATTTTCTCAATTTTCCCACATCTTTCCTGAAATGTGATGCCCAGAATTGGACACAACATTCCAGTTGAAGCCTTATCAGCATGGAGTAGAGGAGAAGAATGACTTCTCATGTCTTGCTCACAACACTCCTGCTAATACATTTCAGAATGCTCTTTGCTTCTTCCTCTTCCTCTTCCTTTTTTTTGGGGTGGGGGGCAGTTACACTGTTGACTCATATTTAGCCTGTGATCCACTATTAAAACAAGATCCCTTTCCGCAGCACTTCTTCTCACACAGTTATCCCCCATGTTGTATGGGTGCAATTGATTGCTCCTTTCTATGTGGGGTATTTTACACTTGTCCAAACTGAATTTCATCCTAGTGACTTCAGACGATTTCTCCAGTTTGTCCAGTTCATTTTCAATTTTGACCCTATCCTCCAAAGCACTTGCAACCCCTCCCAGCTTGGTATCGCATGGTCCACAAATGTTGTAGGTGTGCTTTCTGTGTCACTGTCCAAATCACCAGTGAAAATATTGAACAGAACTGGACCCAGATCTGATCCCTGCGGGACCCCGCTCGATAAGTCCTTCCAGCTTTACTGTGAGACTCTGTCTCCTACACTGATGGTTCAGCCATTGCCTGGCCATGGATCCACAGTCCTGCCCCTTCAGAATTGCTCAGACACTCCACTGCATTCTCCGCCCCTTGATATAAGGGCTGGGTGTGGGGTGGCACTAGCTCTGCCCCAGTTCGGTCGGGACTGGTGTGGTATATCGGTATGCAGACTGGCCACTGTTACCGGCATTTTCCCAGAGCTCGCTAATTACAATCCCTTGGCATTGTCAGCCAGGGGTGCTGCTTTTTTAACTGTATCCACGGGGGTCAAACTCCTCTGTCATGATAGGCCCAGCACTATCTCACTCTATCCAAATGCCAGAAACCTGCAAGGAGACACAGCACCCCAGAAGGGACGTGGGGCTCGGAAAGCACTGAGAAAACCACCCTGAGAAAATCAGATCCTTCCCACCGACACTGCACGAAAAGGCTGGGGCACTGGCGCACCTGAGAACAAGGAGAAGCTATTGTGAGGTTGCTCCTGTGAATTTTATAAGAGGAGACCCTCTCTGAGGGCTGATTGCTGAAGGTTTGGGCCTACCTGGGTCAAAAAAAACGATGGCTTTCAAGCAGGCATATTCATTGTCATCAATCTGCAGCTCCTGGAATGGCAGGACCAGCTCATCAAGGATTCGGATGGCCACCCGGCTCACCTCCACCAGCTCAGGGCAGTTCCGCGGGATTATGTGATCATTCCCTTTAGGGGCACAATAAAACTGTAGCCTCAGCCATCCCTGCTGCTCATGCTCACACCAGCAAGGAGGAGGCCCCCGAGGGACTCAGACTGTATTACATCCACCCAGGCCCACTGAAAGAGGGGGGCAAAAGGGGCAGTTGCCCCAGGGCCCAGTGATTCAACGGGGCCTGGGGCTCTTAGGGTGGCTTGGAAAAGTGGGGGTCCTGTGCGGCAAGCTCAAGGCCGTGCTGGAGGGGGGCACTGCAGTCTGGGCAGTGCTGAGGGATGCAGTGCTTGCCCCCAACCCTTCCACCTGAGGCCCGGCCCATTCCAGGAGTGCAGAGGCAGCCCCTGCCCCAACACATGCACACACACCTGGCCCAGGGAGCCGGCATGGATGTCAGCTTCCCTGAATCCACCTAGACTTAGAATGGTGACCAGGACTTCACACAATCACTGCTCACCCTGCATGACCAAGGCTGGGATGAACAGTGGCGTGTGAGTGTAAATGGGGACACATCATTGTGGCCTCTTGAATCTACAAGCACCCAGGATCCTGTGTAGGGCTGAGCGCCACCCCCTGAAATCCCAAACTTTGCTAGAGAAAAGCCTCAAGCCCTTCCTGATTCCTGGACACTTATCAGCAGGGCTAGCCAGGTCTTGAGACCATCTGTTAGTGAACCAGTGGCCTGTGGTTGGCACATTCGAGCTGACATCACTTCCCACCGAGTGTTGATCTGGGTGCCTCCTGCTGGCTCTTGAGCATCACAAAGGTGCTCCCCATGTGTGGACCATGCATGGGACCGGCATCTTTACTCTGGGAAAGGACGCTGCAACATGCTAGTGGGTCCCTAGGGAGCACAACTGCCCTGGGCTTTTATTTACCACAGAACAGGACTAGACCCGTCTGGGACAAGTAACGTTTCCCCTTCCACCCATCCCTTAGCAGCAAATGGGCCTGTTTCTGGATACACGCCATCCATCTTCCTTCCCTGTAGCGGAAGGGATGTGCTGGCCATAAATGCTGACCTATGTTATCCAAGCAGCCTTGTCTCACTCTGTTACTGGACAAAGGAAGGAAAAACAAGCTACAAGGAAAAGGTGAATGAAGGTGGATCCCTGCTTTGCTTCCCACTTGCACTGCAGCCTCTTTTCACCACTCTGGCAGCATGATGGGGTCTTCATGTGGGTGTCAGGCACCTAGAGGCCCCTCTAGCCTACTGAAGCTTATGGTGGAAATGTGAACCGAGCCCTTAGAACGGAAGCACCAACCAAACTCCAGGGCAGGGCCGGGTTCCCTGGGGATGCAAGAATTCTGACCCAACATGACATATGACAAAAATGACACAGGCCAAAACAAACTGCCCATCCCCTTCAAATCCATAAATAGGATGCTCCTAGGTAAGTGTCTCCTGCTTTGCGAGAGGAAGCAGCAGCACGCTGGCACCGAGGAGAAGTCGTTTACCTAATAGCAAGATGTCTTTGAACACCATGGACCTCTTGGCAACTCCCAGGAGCAGGTGTTCCCCTGCATGTGCCCTCAGCAATGCCACCTGCAAGGACAGAGACATATTCTCAGGGTGAGTGGGAGAAGGGGGGCAGGTGCTTTGATTCCAGTGCCCATCCCTGTCTTATGTATGTCAGGGCAGAGGAGCGGGGTCCTCTCTCCTGTTACATGGAGGGGTTCTAAAGAGGGGATCCAAACACAATGTACTCCTGCATCTCACTGCTTCTTAGGCACAGCACCTCCAACCCCTTAGCCAGGGAGCCAACCACCTGAACCAAAAGATGCTCACGATACTATCCCAGCACCTGAAACGCCCAGTGACAAGTCACCGGGAAGAAGAAATCCAAGCAAGCTGGACTGGTGCAGACGAAGGAGAAAAGAGAGATGGCATCACCTCACAGAGCAGACAGTCACTGGCTCCGGAAGGGACAGCTGACAAGCAAGGATCAAACACCCCAGACTGCGACCCAGCCTGGTGGGGGGTTGTCTGCTGCTGACAGCTACCTCACTGGGATGCAGGGGGGTTGTCTTTTTCTCAGACATCGGCAACCCTCACAGGGTATGTCTACACTACCCTCCTAGTTCGAACTAGGAGGGTAATGTATGCATACCGCACTTGCTAATGAAGCCCGGGATTTGAATTTCCCGGGCTTCATTAGCATAAGCGGAGAGCCGCCATTTTTAAATCCCCGCTGCTTCGAACCCCGTGCAGCGCGGCTACACGGGGCCCGAACTAGGTAGTTCGGACTAGGGTGCCTATTCCGAACTACCGGTACACCTCGTTTCACGAGGAGTAACGGTAGTTCGGAATAGGACCCTAGTCCGAACTACCTAGTTCGAGCCCCGTGTAGCCGCGCTACACGGGGTTCGAAGCAGCGGGGATTTAAAAATGGCGGCTCCCCGCTTATGCTAATGAAGCCCGGGAAATTCAAATCCCGGGCTTCATTAGCAAGTGCGGTATGCATACATTACCCCGCTAGTT